TTGGGCAATCTACTTCTGTAGTGATACCACCACGGAAAGTCAAGTAGGGGTTGCTATGCATTGGGTCCAATTTGACGGCACATAACAACAACAACCACAACAAGTGTATACATGGATAGATATTCAAGTTTAACAGGGGTCCAAAGGTGAACTCATGAATATATATAGGTTTGACATAGGATGTCTCTGCCTATGTATTTATATGTGCTGCAAATATATCCATGAATATAGTAGAACATACAGAGGCCAAAGTTATGAAAACATCTTAGCCATAACCCAACATGTAGAGAGAATAAGTTGCTAGGCATAGGGGCTTAGGATCATAGTCTTGGGGATACTAAGATCAACCGGCATAACTTAGTGCACAAAGACAATGTTCTATATTCTACTTTGGTGAGTAGTGACTGAGGTCTTAAAAGCTTATGAGCGGCCATCTAAAGTGCAACTATTAATCGCTCCCCATCTGGAGCAACTGAGAGTGAAGAAAATCAAAGATCTGTAGAAACAATCCAAAGGATGAATAAACCACATGAACCCCAACCTTCACAACTTTGAGACCAGAACAACTAGATCATGCCCAGCTATGGCTGCTGACCACTTTGAAAAGGACAACAGTAGGAGGTCCCAGTTAGAGTGGGAGAAAAATGTGTAACAAAATTCAGAAGCTCAAAAAAGACCAGGCTTACTGATTGATGAAAAATGGTAGAACCCCTGAGACTATGACCCTCAGACACCCTTCAGGCTGGAAACTGAACTCATTTACGTGGTTCAACTTTCATCCAAATGATAGACAGGCATATAAGGTGAATAATAATACCAGGAAGGTATGCTACGCTCATTAGAGCAATCAACCACATGAGATCAAAAGGGCAACATTTGCCCTGGGATAAAGCTAAGAAGCCAGGAGGGAGAGGAAGGAAGGTGGAATGTAAATGTAAACACTGGGGGGAAGTGGGAAAAAGGATGTTACATTGTGAGGATTGCAATGATTGTCACAAAACAAAATGTGTGTGAGTTGTTGAATGGAAAACCAATTTTGCTCTGTAAACTCTCACCCAAATCACAATTTTATATATATATATATATATATATATATATGCATGTATCTCAAAAAGGATTAAATTTCACTTTGAGTCTCTAAAACACAGGGTTGGTGGGAAATTCTTCCTTTGGTATTATAGACATCCCTTCTCCAATATCTTAAAACTTTCATGCCGCACTAAACTTCCAGTCTATCAGTGATGACTTCTGATCTCATTTTTCCAGCCAGTAATAGTTTCTTGAAATAAGGTCTCCTTCTGCTCGAAGCTGTCTGTGAAAAAAGGACATCTTTTCTGAACTTGGAACCTAAACACATAGTGTATTCTCCCACTGCTTGATAGCTGTGGTCTTGCCTCTCTCCAAGGGGTTGCCAGGGAGCAGATTTCCCTATTAACTGTACAAATTTCCACCTCTGCCTTCATATAGCAGACTAGCACAAGCTCTTTAATGGGATAGTGTAGGAAAATAAATGTCGGAAATGGAAAAATGATTCAGACTAATTCTTAGGATCAATGTATTCTGAGGCAAAGGGGGCCAAGAGGACAGGGATTTTTCCAAGAAACTGTGGAAAAGAAAAAAAAAAATATAAAGAGAACACAATTGTAAAATTTTAATAAAGATGCCACTACACAAAACTAGTCCAATCAAAAACAGTAAAAAAGCAAAAATTCAACAGTTGGTTAATTAAAATACATCCTTGTTGCCTTATGCAATACATCTAATTTGCTGACTTGTTAGAGCCTGAGAAGAGTTAAGGCTGACTGCAAGACTTTCGGCCTTATAGACTGGAAGGATAGTGAAATCATTAACTAATGCTGGAGCTAGGGAGAAGCATGCTTTAGGAGGAAGATTGTGGGTTCAATGTTGCATATGTTAAGTTTGAGATACCCATTCAATATTTAAGGGGCAATGTCAAAGAGAGTGTGGAAATATTAATATAGAATTCAAATAAGAGTTCTAAATTCAAGTTATAAATTTGCCAGTGTATAGGCAGTATCTGAATCCCTGAAATTGAATGAAATTACTGAGGAGGGAGTATGGCAAAAGAAGGGAATAAATGCAAGAACTGAGATCTGAAGCCCCATAAAGTTAAGCTGTTGGGTGATGCAAAATAATCAACAAGAAACTGAAAAGAAGCCTCTAGTGAGGTAGGAAGGCACCAAGAGCTGAAAATATCATGGAAGTCAATTATAGAAAATGTTTCTATGAAGAGAGTTATCTACTCTTTCCCATGCTGCTGAGAGTTCAAGAAAAATGAGAACTGAGAATTGAACGCTGCATTTAGCAAGAGAAGGATTTAGATAACAGCTGTTTTGGTCCAGAGATGAGGGCAAAGCTTGTTTGGACTGGATTTAGAACTGGAAAATATATATTTGAACAGTAACCTTAGACAACTTCTTTGATGAGTTTTGCTTTAAAGAAGTGGAGAGAAATAGGATGGTAACTGAAGATGAAAGTAGGTCCAAAAGAAGTTTTCTATGTGTGTATCGGGTAGGAAGTGGTGTCGGGGCGTTTGTTCTCTCTGATGTGGAAGATCCAGCAGAGAGGGGAAAGTAGTTGATGAAAGAGGGAAGATAGGATTGCTTGAGAATTATAAATAAAAAAGGGAGAGAGGACAGATTCTATCGCACAGGTAGAGAGGTTTTCCTTTGTCAGGTTTATTTTTCCGTTGTACTAGAAGCAAAGGCAAAGCAGATGAACACAGATGCTGGTGGGTGGATCTCATCTGGCTGCTCTATTTTGTCCACAAAAGAGGAAGCAAGCCATAAGCTGAAAGCAGTGCGGAGGAAGGAGTAGTAGAGTGTTACAGGAGAGAGGGGATGTGGTGCGCTAGGATTACATCCCCTTCTTTCAGGGTTTATTACCATAAAATCGCTGTGACTTGAAGGAGTTTCTGACATGAAGAAACACATATGGAAAATAAAGGCTATATATCTAATAAGACAAGGGTTTTAGGTGCCAAAATTAACTTTCCAGAGGTAATTCTTCTCATCGCTTTTGGGAAGAGACCTGGGATGTGTGTGTATGTGTGTGTGTGTGTGCATGTGTTTATTTCTTGGATTTAAATGCTGGCTGTTGTGTTCTGCAAACAAGGGTAGAAAGGTTGATAGTGGTGTCAACTGTGCTGTTATGAAGTACATAGGCCTTGAATTCACCTCCCACTTTTCAGCCCTACTGCTCCTTTGGGCCCTATGCTATTTGCCCATTCTGAGCTTAGAACCCCTGAGGTTCTGTGGGTCAGACTGACTTCTTCCCACCTTGTGTTACAGGCAGCCATTTTCTCTGCTTATTTTGGCCATTAAACTGCTTTCATCTGCTTTGACTGTTCTAGAAATTGTTGAAATTAATTTTTGATTGGTAACTCCCATTCCTCTCATTTTATTTGGTGTTGTAGATTAATCTTTTTTATACATTTACTTGTGTGGTCTCTAAAGTTATGAAAAGCACAGATGAATGTATTTGCCTGTTCAATCTACTTCTTTTACTTACATCACTGTAATGCACTTCACACTGTAAATTACAAATCCTTGAACCTAAAGTATGATATTATTTTTAACTCACTCATAGAGTATATTCCTTAAATTAATATTTTGTAAATTTATTTGAGACAATGTCTTATCAGAGAAGGTTGATCTGCAGTTTTGAGATTGAATGAGACATCAGGAAAGAAGAAGAAATTTATGGAGAAAGAGATCTCAAGCATGTGGCTTGAATAATTCTCCACTATTAAAAAAAAAAAAAGAAAAAAGCTCTACAGCTACCATATGACTCAGCAATTCCACTCTCAGGTGTATTTCCAAGAGACTGGAAAACAGTGACACAAACAAACACACATATACCAATGTTCATTGCAGCACCATTCACAATAAGCAAAAGGTGGAAACAACCCAAATATCTGTCAACAGATGAACAGATAAAAAGTGATGTATCCATACAATGGAACTTGCTCTGCCACAGAGAGAAATGAGGTCCTGATACATGCCACAACATGGATGAACTTTGAAAGCATTATACTGAATGAAATAAGTCAATCACCAAAGGACAAATATTGTATGATCTCAGTAATATGAAGTACCTAGAATAGGTAAGTATACTGAAATCAGAGATTAATAGTGGTTACCTGGGGCGGGAGGGCGGATGTATGGATGAAATTATTGTTTAGGAAGCATTGAGTTTTTATTTATGGGGATAGAAAATTTGGCAAAGGATGTTGGTGAGGGTGGCAAAACATGATTGATGTAGTTCATTTCACTAGATTGTTTATATGAAAATGGTGAATTGGCAAGTGTGTTGTCTATATTTTTGCAATAGTAAAGAAAAAAAAAACCTCTATGTATGTGATGATACCAATAGAGTTTTACATTTTTAATCTCCTGTCCCATTTTCCAATTGAACAATAAACATGGAAATCTCCAGTAGAGGAGATTCTGGCAACATTACAGAATGTAAATCCTTCGGGACACGAACCTTCACTCAATCTTTCATGACGATGATGCTAATCTTCTTCTTTTATTTACATCACACACTGTGAATTACAAAATAGTAATTGAGTGGTTATAGCATTCTTATTTTTATTATGACAAAGAGAAAGCCATATTGCTGACAACTTTGAGGATTAATAACTTGAATAAGCTCTGTAAGTGATGAGTCCCTTAAGAGAAAGATCTGTTTTAACAACATTTATTATGCACATAATCAAGTTTGCACAACTAATACCAGAATAATGCACAGATGAACATGTACTTCTTATTCTGCTTGTATCCCTGATCATGAAGTAGAAAACTAAATTTCTGGTTCCAGCTCCTGCATGTATCACAGAGTAGATGAAAGCATAAATATTTTAACAGATATGGAAAAAATCTTGTATTTGCTCATATCCTCATTCTTCTCTTCCACCCTCTAAATAATATTTATTCTTTTCTCTGTGTTTCCTCCCACCACTATATTTGCATTTCTAGATATTTTTGCACGGTAACAACCTGAATAGCCTACATCAACTAATTCATCCCGAGATCCTACCCTCTGAGTTTGGAGGAATGCTCCCTCCTTATGACATGGGCACATGGGCAAGAACGCTGCTAGACCATGAGTATGATGACGACAGTGAATACAATGTGGACTCCTACAGCATGCCTGTGAAGGAAGTAGAAAAAGAACTGTCTCCCAAGTCTATGAAGAGGTATGCTAGAGGTAGATTGAGAAGTGGGCTAGGAGCATGAGATGGGTGCATGCTGAGTCCAAATCCAGGTTTTATATTTTTCCAAAATTGATATTTGGTGGCTTTTAAAGCATTTCATACCTCCATAATTTGATGTCTAGGAAGTATGAGTCAGAGATAAAGTCATTTGAGGTAACCTCATGTCCGTGTCAGTGTTGTTCCAAATTCATTATCTAGCAGAGTCCTTAGAAATCACCAAATCCAGTATTTTTAAACTTTTTCTTAAGGAGCCAAGGAATCTGGTGAACACTTCAGGGCAAACAAGTGGGAAGAGAAGGGTATCATCTCCACTGCAATAAGAACAACTCTGCTATTATCTAAGCAATTTGTGGACTTCAATGTAGGATTTTCTTTGGGAAAAGTGATTTATGGCAAGCACTGATGCACACATACAAATACACTGGTTAATTCAAAACACTGTATTCAAAGCTTATATTTCCTTTTTATTATCTCTGCCAAATCTCTGTTTAAATGTTTGGCCTCTCCTGGGGCAAGATGTTCTCTTTCCCTATAGCTTTAATTTTTATAAATTCATTGTTGAGTCATAATCTGACTTTCTGCTTTGATCCGCAAAGCATTTTTATGCTTATTTTCTTTTAACAAATACATATTTATTGATCATATATTCTGTAATAGGCATTTGTTAGGTCCTTTGGATCCTGGGTTGATTGAAATGTGTCATTCAGTCTATCTCCAGTAATATATCAGACAGTGTTTCACTGCTATTCATAAGATTTTCACCGGCCAATTCTTTGAGAAGTGGATGGCCTCTTCCTTCTTCTGAGTCTGTGTTAGTGTGGAAGCTCTGCTGAAACCTGTCCATCATGGGTAACCCTGCTGGCATTTGAAACATCAACGGCATAGCCTCCAGCCTCACAGCAACACATAAGCCACCATGGTATGACAAACTGACAGACAAGTTTGTCTCCCTTGTTGTTGTTGTTATGTGCCATCAAGTGCTGTTCCAAACTGCTCCTCTCACTTCCTGGTCTCCCCCCAGGCACTCCAATACCCACATTGCTTTCTGTGCCCTGGCTTGCTCACCTGGCCTGCCCCTGGGTGCTCCTTGGAAGCAAGAATGATCCCTTCTGACACGAGTAAAGTAGGTGCAATGAAGTCTGGCATTTCTTTCAGCTTGAGAAATGCCAAGTGTGTTCTTTTTTGGCTTTCCAACTCCATGTCTTTGCATATTTCATTATAATAATTGACTTTGTCTTCTTGAGCTGCCTTTTGAAATCTTCTGTTCAGCTCTTGTATCTTGTCTTTTATTCCATTTGCATTAGCCACTCTTCATTCAAGGGCAAAATTCAGAGTCTCTTCTGACATCCATTTTGGTCTTTTCCTCCTTTCCTGTCTTTTTTAATGATCTTTTGCTTTCTTCATGGATTATGTTCTTGATGTCATCCCACAATTCTGGTTTTTGGTCATTGGTGTTCAGTGCATCAAATATATGCTTTAGATGATCTCTAAATTCAGGAGGGATCTAATCAAGGTCATATTTTGGCTTTCTTTTAATTGTCTTCTACTTCAACTTGAACTCACCTATTAGCAGATGATGGTTTGTTCCACAATCAGCTCCTGGTGCATTAATTTAAATAATAGTACTATTAACTGGCCTTCCTTGTAGACATATGGATATTATCCTTTCACTGACAGCATTGTACTTCAAGATAGATCTTGAAATATTATTTATGATGATGAATGCCATGCTATTCCTCTTCAATTTGTCATTCCCGGCATAGTAGATCCTATGGTTGTCTGATTCAAAATGGCGAAAATCAGTCAATTTTAGCTCACTAATGCCTACAATAACAATCTTCATGTGTTCCATTTCATTTTTAACAGCTTCCAATTTTTGTGGATTCATACTTCGTACATTCCATGTTCCATTTATTAATGGATATTTGCAGCTGTTTCTTCTCATGTTGAGTCATGCTACATTAGCAAATGGAGGTCCTGAAAGCTCTACTTTATCCATACCATTAAAATCAGCTCTACTCTGATGAGGTATCTCTTTCCCAGTTGTATCTTGAGTGCCTTCTGACCTGAGGGACTCATCTTCTGACACTGTATTGGATGTTTCTTGGCTATTCATAAAGTTTTCAGTAATATATCAGACTGTTTCTCTGCTATTCATAAGGTTTTCATTGGCCACTTCTTTGAGAAGTAGATGGCTTCTTCCTTCTTCCGAGTCTGTCTCAGTCTGGAAGCTCTGCTGAAACCCATCTACCAGGGGCAACCCTATGGGCATTTGAAACACCAATGGTACAGACTTCAGCCTCCCAGAAACACGCAAGCCACCACAGTATGACAAACTGACAGATGTTAATTTCCGTTACCTTCCTGCCGGGGGGCTCTCCCACTTACTGTTCTCTGGAGAAGGATATCATGCTTGGTAAAGTGGAGGGTCAATGAAAAAGAGGAAGGCCTTCAAAGAAATGGATTGACACAGTTGCTGCAATGATGGGCTCAGGTATAGCGGTCATTATGAGGCAAGCACAGGCTGAGCAGTGTTTCATTCTGTTGTACATAAGGGCACTATGAGTTGGAGAGGACTCGACGTCACCTAACAACAACAACATTCAACCTAGTGATGATGAGGGTAGAGGTATAAAATACACAAGTGCGTAAATGGTTCTAGTTTTGTATACTGCCTCTGCATTTGCATTCTATAACAAACAAGATGTCTAATACACAGACTTTCCAAACAATGCTAACAATAACAAATATTATTTCTCTGGTTTACTTCCCATTCACAGAAATGCAGCTTCTTCTCACCTAGCTCAGGGAAGACCCAAGGGCATCTCACATGTCATACCAAACACTGTCCTAATAATTATGCAGTATCCTTCTTTGATGTCCTTTGTTCATGGCTCTGACTCATGGCTTGGTACTGCTGTTCTTTGAGGATTTCTTTTCTTGCTGCTTCTTCTGCTGCTGATGGTGTTAGTGTGTGTGTGTGTGTTTGTATGTGTGTGTGATGAGTGTCTTTGCCCAGGCTGCTGTACTAGTCTTTAGAGAGAAGAGAAAGTCCAAAGACCTTCTATGCTTCATCCTCTGTTCTAATCAGCAAGCTTATGTCTGAACCAAGATAGACTACTTGATGCCCTTTTCTTAGAGCAGAGGTTCTTAACTTGAGATCTATTATCTCCTGAACTATGGGATTTATTGAGGAACTTTCAAGAAATTCTATTGAGTTCTTAAAATTGTATGTGATGTTTCATATGTATATATGTATGTTCTGCACATTTTTCTAGAGAGAAGCTGTTTTAACAAACTCTCAAGATATTTTCTAAAGCAAAAATGGTTAAACTTAAGAACAGCTTCTGCTTAATAATAATAATAATAGTCCTAATAATAATAGTTGTAACAAACATAGCTATCATTTACTAAGTGCTTATCAGGATCAGGCACTGGGTGCCTTTTTGTTTTGGTTTTGTTGTTGTAAATATATATATATACATATACATATACACATACATACATACGTATATATATATTTATTACATTAATTTATTTAATCATCACAGCATCCCTTTCAAACACATACATTCCATTCCCAAAGTCATATAGTCAATATATAGTGGAACAAAGGTTGCATCCATGAGGGACAGAGTCTTTCATACTTGATATAAACGCTGTTTACTTTCCATTGAAGCCTGGCACAGAACTCCCTCACTCTAGAACTGAGCTACATAAGTATTTGGAGACTGCTGTCATAGGTGTCCCTGTAGCCTTCCCCTTTGCCAGCTAATATTTCTAACTTCTTTCAACTACTCCCTGTGTGACATGCTCACTACTGTAGTCTCCTCCTTTGAGCTCATTTACCTTCATATCCCCTTCAACCTCAGCCACACCACCATCATCTGCGCTCTGCTCACCTTCACTTTCCTCAAGACCTCCAAACTTGTCTCTTTCTCTCCACCTTTATGCTGACCTGGCCCCACATTTATTATCAAATACCGGTCCAAAATTTTTCAAAAAAGCAAATCAGATGATTTCACCTCTTTGCTTCAAAAGCTTGAAAGACTGCTGATTATACAGTTAATAAAATCAACTCAGTATCATGGATTACAAGATGCTCTGTGATCTGACCCTAGCTACCCTTCTCTCCTAAGCTTCTCTTGCCCTCTTCTTCCTCCATTCTATCTAAAACACAGTAGCCTTCTGTCTGCTCCTTCAGCCTCTCCAGCCTGTTCTATCTAGGGGCTTTCACTTGTTTACCATTGTTGGAATGCTTACTTTTTTGCATCTTCAAATGGCTCAAGGTCACTTTTTCAAAAGAGACTTTTGGTCTTTATGAACCACCCGCCTATTTCCCCATTGTAGTCATTCACTGTCAATTATCGTCCTTTATTTATTTATTTTAATAGTATTTATCAGTCTGTAAAATGACTGACCTTATTTCATTTTTTATTGACCATACCAAATGGAAGCTTCTTGGAGACCATGACTTTGTATAACCTGTTCTTTTAATCCCCAGTGCTTGGCGTAGGGCTTGACACTTGGGGGAGGCTCATTAAATATCAGCTATGAAGTCGGTCAGTGGGCCCATTCAATTTCATTATTCACAATTGAATAGATGCCATCTGACCCTCATTTAAGGTCCTCTGGTGGTACAGTGGTTAAAGTGCTCAGCTGCTAACTGAAAGGTCAGTGGTTGAAACTCACCAGTTGCACTGTGGGAGAAAGAGGAGGCAGTTTGCTTCTGTAAAGATTTACAGCCTTGGAAACCTTATGGAGCAATTCTCCTCTATCCTTATAAGCATTGTTGTGAGTTGGAATTGACTCGGTGGCAATGGGTTTGATTTTTGGTTGGGACCCTTATATCACTACTTACGTTTAGTGTTCAGAATTCTGTCTTTGCAATATAGACCTCATTGGCTTTGTTTGGTTCCTGTTGTTGCTGTCACTGTTTCTGTTTGAACAATCAAAGCACACTATGATTTATATTGAACTAT